CCCCCCCCCCACTAAAATTCTAGATCCGCCTCTGACTAAAGTACTTGAAAGTAAATAACGAAACATAAATCAGAACCTTACTTGAACCAACACAAATATGTTGTTGTTAGATTTCAGAGAATCCTTGAGCTGAAGAACCCTAGAAATGGAAGAAGCGTTTGCAGAGAGAGAATGAATTGAGGAAGAAGAAAATGATTTAAACATCTTCTATATTCTTCAATGTAACAGTACAAAGTATTTATACATGTACACTTAATTATCAACTCCCTAATAGATTAGTGGTCTCTACAATATTCCTAATAACTGATTGTAGTATCTGTACATTAACTTACTAACTAACTGATTCCCTTACTCTCTATTACGTTACTCCTTCTGCTTCTACACTCCACCTCAAGCTAGGTGGTACGAAAATATCAAGTTAACCTAGCTTGGACACTAAGTACTCATGTTGAGCTCTAGACAGTCCTTTAGTTAGCACATCTGCCAACTGTTCTTTGGTTCCCACATATCCTGTCTTGATTAGCCCCTACTGAATTTTTTGTCTTATAAAATGACAATCAATTTCTATGTGTTTGGTCTTTTCATGAAAGACAGGGTTGGCAGCTATTGGTATGGCTGCTTTACTGTCAGTGTAGATGGTAGCTGGCAATTCAAACACCACTCTAATATCCTTGAGTAATCCAAATATCCAAACTAGTTCAACTATTGTTATTGGAATACTTCTGTACTCTGATTCTGCATAGTTTCTTGAAATAGTGCTTGCTTCTTTGACTTCCATGATATCAGTGAATTCCCATACTTTATGAAGAAACCAGACAGACTTCCTAGTCAAGGGACATGCTGCCTAATCAGCATCGCAGAAGGCTGAGATTACACCTCTCTTTTGACTAGACAGAAGCACACCTTGCCTAGGGTGATTCTTAACATACTTGATCACTCTGAGTGCTGCCTCCATATGAGATTTCTTAGGTTTTTGCATGAACTGGCTGAGAGTTTAAACACTAAATGCAATGTCTGGTCTTGTTACTGTCAGATATAGAAGTTTTCCCAGTAGCCTTTGATAGCTAGTAACATATGGTAATAATGCATCATCCAAGTTGTTGATTGTGATTGTGTGTTCATTATACTCCTACGTGGTGAGTTTCATATTTACTTCAAGGGGTGTAGTAGCAGGCTTTGTAGTACCTAAGCCAAGTTCAGAAACAAGTTCTAATGCATACTTTCTTTGAGGCATTAGAATACCCTGTGATGATCTTGCAAACTCTATCCCAAGAAAGTATTTTAACTCCCCTAGGTCCTTCATCTTAAAGGTCTTCTGTAGTGTTGCTTTGGTCTTTTCTACTAGCCTCAAATCAGGTCCTGTGAAGAGCATATCATCCACATTGACTAGTATAACCACAATGCAGCTCCTAGTCCCTTGTACAAACAAAGAGTGATTATGTTGACTTTGTATGAAGCCAAAACTAATCAATGCCTCTGATAACTTTGCATTCCACTACCTGGGTGCTTGTTTGAGACTATACAGGAAAGCTGCAAGCTGGCCTACTCTCCCCCTGACTCTGAAAACCCTGAGGAGGAGTCATATAGATTTCACCGGGCAAATCACCCTATAGGAAAGCATTGTACACATCCATTTGATGGATATGCCAATGTTCTGAAGCTGCAACAGAAAGGATGGTTCTAACAGTAACCATCCTAACAACTAGACTGAAAGTTTCTTGATAATCAATCCCTTCCTGCTGACTAAACCTTTGGCCACCAGCCTGGCTTTAAATCTTTCAACCTCCCCTGTAGCTTTGTATTTCACTTTAAATATCCACTTTCAACCAATAGGCACCTTGCCTGGAGGAAGTGAGACAACTTCCCAAGTGTGATTAGCCTCCAAGGCTGCTATTTCTGATTTCATAGCCTCCACCCACCTTGGGTATTTAACAGCCTCTTCATAAGAGGAGGGCTCCATAACAGTGGAGAAGGCTAAAATATAAGGCTGGTAAGAGGGAGAAAGTCTGTCATACGAGACATAGTTAGCCATGGAATATGGAGTAGTAGTGTTAGAACGCTGAGTGACAAAGTCCTTGAGCCATAGTGGGGGATGTTTAGTTCTGAGAGATCTCCTCAGTGTAGGACAGGGCTCAGGAGCAATAGACAAAGAGCTATGCCTACCTTCTGATAAGGTAGGGGACAAGTGATCACCAAATGATGAAGTAGATGAATTGATGTGTGGAGAGAGACAGATATCTGTGGGAACTTCTTCACAGCTAGGAGGTGAAGGAAGTGGCTTGAATATAGGAGGAAATACAGATAGAGAGTCCTTGAATGGAAATACATTTTCTCTGAAAATAACATCTCTATTTACAAAGAAGTGTTGTGTAGCAATATCTAAGAGAATATAACCTTTTTGAGTGTTTGAGAATCCTATGAGCACAGCAGGCATGGCCCTAGGCATGAGCTTATCTGTCTCCTGTACTTGCTTTGCAAAACACAAGTAGCCCAGAGTTCTAAGGTGTCCTAGCTGAGGCTTCCTATTGTACAACAGCTCATAAGGTGAACACCCCTTCAATACTGATGATGGCAGTCTGTTGATCAAGTATGCTGCAGTAATAACACAATGACCCCAGAACTTGATTGGAATGTTAGCTTGAAACCTCAGAGCTCTGGTGATTTCTAGGAGATGTCTATGCTTCCTCTCAACTAACCCATTCTGCTGAGGAGTGTAGGCACAGGTGGTTTGATAAAGGATTTCAAGGTTATTGAACACAATTTTACATACTGAATTTAGAAATTCAGTACCATTGTCAGATCTCACCATTTTTACTGTTTTATTGAACTGTGTATGAACAAAGGCAATGAACTGTGGTAATACAACACACACATCAGATTTCAGTTTCAGTAAGAAAACCCAAGTCATTCTAGTGAAGTCATCAACCACTATGAGAAACTATCTATAACCATCAAAGGTTGTAGTTTTATAAGGTCCCCAAACATCTACATGAATGAGATCAAATGCATTAGTACTCTTCATGCTACTGATAGGAAATGGTGTCCTGGTTAGTTTAGCACAAGGACACACACAACAATATGGCATTAGTAATACTAGCTAGTTTGACAGGAAATAGTTTCTTCAGAACAATAATAGACACAAGGCCAAGTCTCCTGTGCCATAAGACTATATCATTGGGACTGATTGAGAGGTCAGACTTTGAGCTAACAGCTGCCAGGGACACAACACTCAGTCTCTTATATCCATGTTGTTGTAGGAAGTATAGACCAACTGTTTCTCTACCAATCTCCTTCACCCTGCTATTGAAGAGATCCTGGAACACACAAAAATCAGGATAGAAAGAGGCAAAGCACCTTAAGTCCGTTGTCATTTTTGACACTGGTAACAGATTATACTTGAAATGTGGTACATAGAATACTTCTTTTAGAGTGTTGTTGTTTGATATATGACTATCTCCAACCTGAGTTACTTGAGGGACATCTCCATTTGGAAAGAGAACTTTTCTAAAGACAGAGGGTTCAACTATAGAGGCTTTATTTAATAGATTGACATTGGACACCATGTGGTTTATTGCCCATGTGTCAATGATCCACTCTTGTGGACTAGTGGAAGCTAGTAAAGCAATACTAGTACCTACTACATTAGCTTGGGAAGTAGGTGAAGGACTGTTGTTTCTTGCTGAAGGAGAGCTGACAGTGTTGCTGTTCAGATTTTGCATGATTTGATCATATTGTTCCTTGGTGAAGAGAAATGCACTACCTCCTCCATGTTGTGGTTGTTGTTCCATACTTGCAGAGTGATTATTGTTTTGCAAAGGTTGAATAGATCTTGGCTGCATAGTAGTCATCTGTGAACCAGAGTTTGGCTGTCCACAGGACTGTGTGTACGAGCTTAGCTCAGGTAGTGAATTGTAACTACCAGAAGTTGATCCATACTCTGCTACTACATTATAAGCACCAGCTCCCCCTTTCTTCTTAAACTTGTAGTCTGCTGGATAACCAACTATTTTATAGCAATTCTCCTTGCTATGACCCTTTAGTTTAAAGAACTCACACTAGATTAAAGTTCTTTCTGTATTTTGGTCTATTACCAGGCTTAGAACTGCAGAGTGCTGTAGATTCATAGTGTCCACCAATGGCATTAGGTGAAGACCCTAAGATTCCTGCTGATCCTCTTACATTTCTCTGACTCTCCTCCCTCATTAACATGGCATAAACTTGATTTACAGAAGGAACAGGTTTTATCATAAGGATTTGACTACGAGCTTGTGAGTATGAGTCATTTAAGACCATAAGGAACTGATACAGATTTTGTTTTTGAAGATGTTCAATGAATTTCTTAGTTTTAGGGCAGTCACAAAACACGATGTGGAACTAGATCTTCAATTTCATTCCATATGTGTTTGAGTTTTGAATAGTACACAGATATAGAGGAGATTCCTTGAGTTAGGGTTGCAATTTCCTTGTGTAGGTTGTAGCATCTAGTGTCATTCACTTTGTCAAAACGCTCTTGCAAGTCCATCCACACAGTGTCAGCATTGGTTGCATATGCAATTCCACTGATCAAAGTCGGTTCTACAGCATTCATCAGCCATGACAAGACAGTAGCATTGCATCTTTCCCACTGATACCAGTATTTTTCTCAAAAATTTTCCTTCTTCCACCTTCCCCCAACCATTCCGAGCTTATTTCGACCTAAAAGAGCAATTTTCATATATCGATACCATAGTGAGAAATTGTCTGTGCTTGTTAATTGAAAGGAAATCAGAGATATTCCACTTGTATCCGTAGGTTCCAAATACAGAGGATGAGTGACTGGAACTGAAATTCCTTCTTCAAATTCATCCTCCGATGAGGTTTGAGAGGTTTCAGTTATAGTTGTAGATGTTTCCTGCTCAAAATTCTCAACCGCCATTGTTGACACTTAGAGCTTCAGAATTGAGATGCGAAGAAGAGAATTGAGTAAGGAAGAGAATTGAGGAGATGATTACAGATCCGGATCGATTTGTGAGCTTCAATTCATAGCTCAAAGCTCTGATACCATGTTAGATTTCAGAGAATCCTTGAGCCGAAGAACCCTAGAAATAGGAGAAACATGTGTAGAGAGAGAATGAATTGAAGAAGAAGAAAATGAGAGAAATATCTTTTGTTAGTTTGATAGTTAAATAGTAGTAAATAACCCTAATCCTATATATATATATATAGGGCTCATTGTATCATTGTCAACATTAATCAATAATAGATTTTTCTCTCGTGTATTCTTACATGGTATCAGAGCATTGGTGAGATAAATATCCTTGTGCGTCATTCCAACGACATCCGGGAAGAAATCAGTCGTCACCGTACAATTTTCCGGTGACCTGAGTAGCTGTTTCCATCAAAACCACTTTTTACCGGTGTTTTGCATAAACCAACACCACCACAGTATTCTCCATCTCCGGGCGACCAGACCCCAAAAAAACCCCCACCGGAAAAAACCCATCCACGCGCCGTCACGCACCGGCACGTGGACCTCCTTCCGGTCAGTTTCTGACGACACTCTTTTTGGACAATCCTTCTCAGGACATTATTCCGAGTCGTTCTATTCAAGTTTCATCAAATTCCGGCAACCTTTTTTTATTTTCGGCGAGTGAACAGTGTTTCCCAAAAAAAAAGGTGTTCTGATTTGGCATTCCAAGGTTAACCACACAAGTTGTAATCAAGAATTTGAGAAATTGGTTGTAGAAAAATGGAATACTACAAAGAGTTGGATGGTTTCTCTACCAGACTATATTGAGTTCCTTCAGTACAAATCACGTAAACAGACATCTTCAGGATTAGCCTCCGTTGTTCCAACAGATAGTAGCGTGACTTGTGTCTCCCAACCTTCAACCTCTGAGTCTTGGGTCATTGATTCAGGTGCATCTGATCATATTTCTGGTAACAAATCTCTTTTCACTAGTATTTCATATTCTCAATCTCTTCCAATAGTCACAATGGTCAATGGGTCTCAAGCCATGGCAACTAAAATAGGTCAAGCAAGTCAACTTCCTTCCTTACCTTTAGACTCAGTTCTTTATGTTCCTGGTAGTCCTTTTAATCTCATAGCCGTTAGTTGCTTAGCCTAATCACTTGAATCTGCTGTTTTATTTCTTGATGACCTACTTTTTATACAGGAACGCAGTACAGGGCGGATCATTGGTACCGGACGTGAATCAAATGGACTTTATTACCTTATCCTTGCAAAATCACATGGACTCGCATCTTGTCTTCCTCCAATAACTTGTCCCGTTACTGATTCACCAGATTTATTACATAAACGGTTAGGACATCCCAGTTTCTCAAAACTTCAAAAAATGGTACCCGGCTTATCTCACTTGTCCACTCTAGAGTGTGAGTCATGTCAGCTTGGTAAGCATACCCGCTCCCATTTCTCGCAGCGTCTTGATAATCGAGCAGAGTCACCTTTTACTTTAGTCCATTCAGATGTTTGGGGTCCTAGTCGGGTCAGTTCCACCTTGGGATTCCGCTACTTTGTTAGTTTCATTGATGATTATTCCAGGTGCACTTGGATATTTTTGATGAAAAATCGATCTGAGTTTTTTTCTATTTTCCAAACCTTCCACGCTGAAATTCAAAATTAATTTGGGGTTTCTATCCGCACATTTTATAGTGATAATGCCCTAGAGTATTTTGCTTCCCATTTCGGCAGTTTATGAACTCCCATGGGATTATTCATCAAATATCTTGTGCGTACACATACTAACAAAATGGGGTAGCTGAAAGAAAGAATAGACATCTTATTGAAACTGCTCGTACCCTACCCATACAATCTCATGTTCCGCTGCATTTTTGGGGGGGATGTAGTTCTTACATCTTGTTATCTTATTAATCGTATGCCATCTTCAGCTTTCCAAAATCAAGTTCCATTCTCTGTCCTGTTTCCCTACTTACCTTTGTTCTCTCTTCCACCTCGTGTCTTTAGGAGTACGTGTTTTGTTCATGACCTTACTCCAGGAAAAGATAAGTTAGCTCCTCGTGCTCTTAAGTGCATATTTCTGGGTTACTCGAGAACGCAAAAGGGATATCGATGTTATTCTCCTGACCATCAGCGATTTCTTATGTCTGCTGATGTTACCTTCTTTGAAACCCAATCATACTTCACATGTCCAGTTAATCACTTAGATATTTCTGAGGTGCTACCAGTTCCTTCTTTTGGAGATTGAGTCCCTATCTCCCATCATCTTCCTCCATAGCTCCACCACCTATGGTTCCAGTTGCAGCTCCAGTGCCACCATCGAGTCCAGTGCCACCGCCTAGTCCAGTTCCACCAACTATAGCTCCAGTGCCACCACCTAGTCCAGTTCCACCAACTATAGCTCCAGTGCCACCACCTAGTCCAGTTCAACCTTCTACAGCTCCACCACTCCCGACTTATCATCGTCGTCCGCACCCAGCATCAGGACCAGCTGATTCACGTCCTGCACCTGACCCTGCTAATACTGCGGACTTGTCTCCTCTTAATCAACCGATTGCACTACAAAAAGGTATACGGTCCACACTTAATCCTAATCCTCATTATGTCGGTTTAAGTTACCATCGTCTCTCACCATCCCATTGTGCATTTGTGTCATCTTTGTCCTCTGTTTCCATCCCTAAGTCTAGAGGTGAGGCACTGTCTCATCCCAGATGGCGACATGCTATGATTGACGAGATGTCTGCTTTACATACGAGTGGTACTTGGGAGCTTGTTTCTCTTCCTTCGGGTAAATCGGCTGTTGGTTGTCGTTGGGTGTATGCAGTCAAAGTTGGTCCAGATGGCCAGGTTGATCGACTTAAGGCTCGTCTTGTTGCCAAAGGATATACTCAGATATTTGGACTCGATTACAGTGATACTTTCTCTCTCGTGGCCAAAATTGCATCCGTCCGCCTTCTTCTATCCATGGCTGTTGTTCGTCATTGGCCTCTCTATCAGTTGGACTAAGAATGCTTTTCTTCACGGTGACCTTGAGGATGAGGTTTATATGGAGCAACCACCTGGTTTTGTTGCTCAGGGGGAGTCTAGTGGCCTTGTATGTCGGTTGCGTCGGTCCCTTTATGGTCTAAAGCAGTCTCCTCGAGCCTGGTTTGGTAAGTTCAGCATAATTATTCAGGAGTTTGGCATGACTCGTAGTGAAGCTGATCACTCTGTATTTTATCGACATTCTGCTTCAAATCTCTGTATTTATCCGGTCGTTTATGTTGACGATATTGTTATTACCGGCAATGATCAGGATGGTATTAGTAAGTTGAAGCAACATCTCTTTCAGCACTTTCAGACTAAGGATCTGGGCAGATTAAAGTATTTTCTAGGTATTGAGGTCGCTCAGTCTAGCTCAGGTATTGTGATCTCACAGTGGAAGTATGCCTTAGATATTCTTGAGGAGACAGGAATGACAGGTTGTAGACCTGTTGACACTCTGATGGATCCGAATTCTAAACTTCTGCCAGGACAAGGGATCCTCTTAGCGATCCTGCAAGATATAGACGGTTGGTTGGTAAATTAAATTACCTCACAGTGACTAGACCTGATATTTCCTTTCCTGTGAGTGTTGTGAGTCAGTTTATGGATTCTCCCTGTGATAGTCATTGGGATGCAGTTGTCCGCATTCTTCGGTACATAAAATCAGCTCCAAGAAAAGGCTTATTGTTTGAGGATCGAGGCCATGAGCAGATCGTTGGATACTCAGATGCTGATTGGGCATGATCACCTTCTGATAGATGTTCTACATCTGGATATTGTGTCTTAGTAGGAGGAAATTTGGTGTCTTGGAAGAGCAAGAAACAGAATGTGGTTGCTCGGTCTAGTGCAGAAGTAGAATAACGAGCAATGGCTATGGCGATATGCGAGCTAATTTGGATCAAACAGTTGCTCAAGGAGTTGAAATTTGGTGAGATTAGTCAGATGGGACTTGTGTGTGATAATCAAGCTGCTCTTCATATTGTGTCAAATCCAGTGTTCCATGAGAGAACTAAACACATCGAGACTTACTGTCATTTTGTTAGAGAAAAGATACTCTCGGGAGATATTGCTACAAAATTTGTGAAGTCGAATGATCAGCTTGCTGATATTTTCACCAAGTCCCTCACTGGTCGTCGTATAGTTATATGTAACAAGCTCGGTACATATGATTTATATGCACCAGCTTGAGGGGGAGTGTTAGTTTGATAGTTAAATAGTAGTAAATAATCCTAATCCCATATGTATTAGGAGTAGGACATGTATATATATGGCTCATTGTATCATTGTCAATATTAATCAATAATAGATTTTTCTCCCGTGTATTCTCACATCTTCTATATTCTTCAATGTAACGGTACAAAGTATTTATACATGTACACTTAATTATCAACTCCCTAACAGATTAGTGGTCCCTACAATACTCCTAATAACTGATTGTAGTATATGTACACTAACTAACTAACTGATTCCCTTACTCTCTAGTACGCTCCTTCTGCTTCTACAGTTGGTATTTTCTTTAAGGGAATTTGCCAATTCTAAATCGACAATTTTAGTTTTTTGAGTAGAATAATAGGTAATATCGAGTGGAAGTTTAAAAACTCAGTCATGGCATCTTGAAACCGCTTCTCTGCTGCTTCAGCCGCTCCTTGTTCCACTGTGTAAATATGTACTTTCTGCGTGTGAGAGAGTTAGTGAAGCGCGACTTTAAACAGTATGCACCGCCATGGAGAATTAATTGGTGAGTTTTAGAGACTTATTTTTTTGGAAAACTGAAAACACCACTTAACTTCATATATATTTAAAATATTTATTTTACTTATATACTTACTCTGTAAAACTTTATTCAATTTTTAAATCTTTAATATCATTGTATGACAATGCCATTAAATAAATTCTACTCCTACCTTTAAGAGACTAGATTATAAGACAAACAC